CCATACGCCACCGTGATTACCGTCTACACAGAAGGCAACAACATGTCTTGGAATGTCAAGGGCCCAAGCAACCACAAGCACATGACGGTCCCCAACTTGTGGACTCTTCCCTTTCCCTCGGGCCACTTTGACGTCATCTCGGCGCGCACCCTGTACGAGCTTCTCAAGACCAGGAAGCCCATGGGCAGGTCGTCGGACGAGTACGACTTGTGCCTGAAGGAGTGCTACCGATGCTTAAAGCCCGGAGGCATTCTCGACTACTCACTCATGGACGCAGATGTGGTGCACGCAGGCCGCAACGCGCAAGCCATGGGCGTCGAGTTTGGCTTTAACCTCAAGACACGCGGCTATGATGCGCAGCCCACCAAGGCTTTTCTCCCCCGCATCTCCAAAGCCGGATTCAAGGAAGTGCAAAGAGCTTGGATGTTTCTGCCCATGGGCAAAACGGCGGCTAACTGGCGCGATACGCTTGCGGTGGGAGCTGAGCCGAAGCATCAAGAACGTAGGATTGCAGAGGATGGTAGTATCGAGGTTGAAGATGCGCCGGTGCTCGGCACGACTATTGACGCTGCGATGCTGACGGGTATTGTCGGTAGCTGGGCGTGGGAGAGGTGGTTGTTGAGATTGCAAATGGAGATGGGCAAGGATGAGGATAAGTTGCTTGAGGGAGTAGTCAATGTGCTGGAAGAAGGTGCACAGGGCCACTCTGGATGGAGGACGCTGACTGGTTGGGCAAGGAAGTAAGCGATTTTTTTCTTGGAATCTATGGGGTTTTGGAGAAGAGAGAGGGATATACGAAATGATGTTTTATGATGGGATTTGCCAAGGGGCATTTTGGAGTTGGATAGGGGTTGTTGGCTGGACACGACACAGGATTGATACCACATTGACTTTTTCTTTTTCTTTTGTAAATTCCCGATTTCCTATGTTAGACATAACTATTATTCTTTTCATTTGTAAATAAATTGATAAAAAGCAACCGCTACATCAAGATACATATTTGCAGTGAAAACCGTTCGCTGTGCTGGAAAGTCGGTGATGTAGTTAGCCAAAGCCAACCCAACCTGATTTTTCCAGATCTCTCTTTTTTATCTTTGACGTTGGCGGCCCCCCCCTCCCCACACGGTCCCTGCGCAACCTTCCGTCACTCCGCCCGCCATCCAACACCAAAAGTCGCGACAACAACGACACGCCTTCTCAGACGCACCCCGCACTGCCGCCCACTCGCACCCATACGCCCGCAACCATCCCCCAGCTGCGCCTCTCGCCAACAATGTTATTCTTCAGGTCCGTCACCTTCTCCCCCCCTCTATCTCTCACCCCTCAAAGCGCTTGTACAGTATACTAACCCCAACACCCATGCAGCTTCTTCAAAACACTCGTAGAGCACGAAATCACCGTCGAACTCAAGAACGAAGTGCAGATCCGCGGGACGCTCAAGAGCGTAGATCAGTATCTGAACATTAAGCTGGACAATGCCGAGGCGGTGGATGAGTTGAGGTGGCCGCATTTGGTAGGTTAATTTCTTTACAACCTCCCCCCTCCTTTCTTTTTCCCGTTTTATTTCTGAGGGGGGCGGTTGGGAGCGCATGTCACTGCGGTTGCAAAAAAAAAAGCTGGAAGGGGGAGGTGGGAGGAAGCAAAGAGGGAAGCAGGGGAAAGGGAGAGAGAAGAAAAGAAGGCTAATGAGAGAGGATAGTGCTCAACTAAAGACATGTTCATTCGTGGCTCCGTGGTACGCTACGTGCATCTTCCTTCGGGCGCGGTGGACACGGCGTTGTTGGAGGATGCGACGAGGAGGGAGGCTGAGGCGGCGAAGAATAAGGCCAAGTGAGGGATGAGGGTCGTAGGAAGGGAAGAAGGAGAGGAATGTGGGGGGGGCATGTTTGCGGAGAGAGGGGAGGGAGCGGGAGGGATATGGATAGTGTGTGTGTGTGTGTGAGAGAGAGAGCTGGTGAGGTTGGTCTGGAGTCTGCACAGAAGCGGATGGAGGCATGGAACAAATACGTCTATCAAGGCAAAATGATGGGATAGGGCGTCAAAAAAAGGAAATCATAGTATACCCCATTTTGAACGAGAGAAGAAGAGAGAAAAAAAAAGAGTTCAAAGACAAGAAGAAGAAGAATAAGAACAACAAGTGAATTACCATCAGCTCGAAACCATCCTGGCGCTTGCCCAGTATCCAGCTCATTCATGAACATGTCCCCTGAATAAAAGTTTGGCCAGCCGCCTCCAAACTACAGTACACCATTACGCACAAACCCATAAACCGCTCCCCCCCGCCGCCCTGGCACTCCGCCCAGACGTTCACCCCGGCGGCTTTCTTTCTTGTCTCATCAAACCTCGCTTAGAGAGAATGGTTATTTAAGAGAAAAAAAAGAAGGAGGAAGAAACGGGATCAAGATATGGCAAGATTACATGTGGGTATTGCTCAAGGGCCAAGTACAGACAGTTATGATATAAGCGAAGCGATATGTAAGCACGGCAGTTGGGATGAGTGGAAGGGGGGGGGAGGAGGCTGGGGACGCGGGTAGCCGAGCGGGTTTTGCAAATTTACTTGTGGCAGTTGATGAGGGTGCTGAAACAAGGCAAGTTTTTGTACGTATGAAGCATTTGACGACAGACAAGCCTTGGGCGCGCGGGCGTGGCGTGGCAAGCGGTGAGATTAACATTTTGATGGCGGTATCTTTTAACCTTTCAGTCTGTGTGTCTCCGTCCGGTTTGATGAAGCAAAGAAGAATGAAAATCAATGACCGTTGAGCATTATCTAAGCGTAATTCCCGATGATCCTACCGTGCCTTGATTTTCTTTTCGCCCACCCCCACACACATGCCCCTTGGAAAGGTGAAGACGCGGCTAATATAACGTGTACATATAGGAAGCAATCCACTTCTTAGCAAGCCCTATACCCAAATTAGGCGCGCGCAAAGAGGGATTGTTTTGCGAAGGAAATAAAGGGAGAAAAAAACCGGGGGGGTATATAGCCAGGACTCTTATTCCTATAGACGGACGAAAAAAAAAATCAGCCCATCATTGTGGCAAATTGGACCTATGGTTTTTTCCCCGCTTTCCATTGATCAATATGTTGGACTGTAGGTTTTGTCGAAAACGATACGAGGCTCGTTTATCACTTTATGAGAGAATTGGGAACAAAACACCATGCCCTGGGGACGGACGGGTAATGATCAGCGCAAGGGACGATGACCAAAACAGATTACGCGTACGGCCGCTTACGAGGCTGACAGGAATAAGCTGGAATTGGTGATTGCAAAAAAAAGCGTTACCGATGGTTTGGAATCGATACTTGGCATTGGGCAACATGTGGTTCAAGGGCCAAGTATGTTTGCCTTGAGGGGCCGGATGATATCCTCGAGCGCGCCGAAAAAGGTTGGGGGTTTGGTTGCTTGGCGAACATGTGGCACATGCATGTGAAGGTATTGAAGGGCAAGAACTTGGGCCTCGGCGCGCGTTACTCGCACGTGGAAAGCATCTTCTTGAGCACGCCCATCAGGGTGCCGTTTTCCAGGGCAGCGGCAACGCGCTCCTTGTCGCCCAGCTGTTTGTTTACCTGCTCGTCTGTGCTGTGGGTGCCCTTCTTTATGCGGACATCGACGCGAAAGCGCGGGGGCAGGGCCTGCTCCAGACGAACACGCACGCCTAGGCCGATGACGGTGGCCAGCGAGCAGTGGGTAATGGTTGGGGTGATTTCGACGACGACGGTGCTGATGTTGGACAACGGCGAGGCAGGGGGCAGGATGTGGATGTCGGGTAGGTTGACGACGGAGAGGGAGCCAAGGGACAGCGGATGCTCAGGGTCGCAGATGGTGGAAATGAGGTCTTTCATGCGTGGGGTCAGGCAGGCAGGCAGGGGCAGACAGGAAAGAAAAACTGACCATAGATTTCCTGTTCGTCAATGGGGTCGTCATGTGTGTCGTCGCTGTCCGAGTCGGCAGGCGAAACAGGGTGGTCCAGGGGGTCGAGGAGATATGTGTAGCGGGGGATCAGGTCGTCAAACAAGCCAGAGCCGGGGTGGTGCTGCCTCTTGCCGGCTGCATCGCTGCGGCGCGAGGGCAGATCCGAGGGGTTTAAGATGGTGGGGTTGGCGTTGTCCTTGTCGAGCTCCATGGCGCTGCTTTTGGCGGGGTGGTAGCGGTGGTGGTGGTGGCTGCTGATGCTGATGCGGGTGCGAGGGAGGGGATGGCGATGGCGATGGCGATGGCGGCGGTTGTGGTTGCGGTTGTGTGTGTGTGTGTGTGGTTGCTGCAGCGCCTCGGTTGGGCCGGCCATTGCAATCGTCATTCGGCATATTGGAGTATGTGGGCAGCAGCATGGCCCTGCTTGCCGCCTACCCGCGCAGCCTGCACCTGCTTAGCAATTGCTTTGTTACACACACACACACACACACACATGGACATGTACGTAACTGTCTGTGTAAACGTCTGTCGACGTACACATACATCGTAGACCTTGCATGTATGTTTCCAATCTCCCGCAGATTACCCGCGAGCAGGATGGGATGCAGGGGAGACGAGTGTGGGGTGGTAGACCGTTTGACTAGTGTCTGCGCATATCGAGTGGGCGTTGTCTTGTCCTTTCCAGGTTATGGCCTGGCGGCTGTAGACAGACACGCACACACGCACGCTCTCTTCGCATACACCCTCTTCTTGCTACGTGCGTATGTAGTCTACGTGCGTATGCTGCATTGCTACTAGCAGCCGTGTATACCGCTCGTCGACATGACGGGCCCCCACCGGCGAGCATCGGCAAGACCCGACGTTCGTCGCCCCGCAGCCTGAGGCTTCAAGGCGACGAGCACCGAGGGCGGGCAGCGGTGAATTGCTCGGTCGCCTCCCGGGCCACGGTTGACCCAAATCAAAGGGTTTCTCGTCGTGTTTCCGGACGCCTGGCCTGAGACGGAGGCAATCTGAGTCTCTCGTGTTGCTGCTGTCGGCTCCTCCCGCACTCTGGCGGAAATGCTTCCCAATCCGGTAGACGGTCAATCACAGGGCTGGTACCACCGCGTGTTCCTGAGCGGCAGGGAGATCAACGCCAGAGATCAGCGCCGCCCCGGTGAAGCCAACAAACAGCACAAGCACAGGAGTCGTGTCGTGTCGAGGCGAGTCGAGTCGAGTCGTGTTAGCAGCAACCGAGACGGGAGTGCTATCGCTGCAGTGCCATGGACCACGGCGGGTTGGCTCTTGGATCGAGAGGCCTGCAGCTGCATACGACTGCCACCTGCATTCCTGTGCCTTCGATGCGCCTTCGATGGCTTGCCGGCGCCGCCAGTCGCCCGTGGCCGCCACCACTACGACGACGACTACCGTGGCCATGATACCCACCAGCATCATAGCCACTACCACCCGCCTGTCAGACGAGCCTCTGCTTGGCAACGCCCGCACTGCAACCCCGTCAGCCAGGCCGCCATGATTCCCAGCGACGATAGACGTACAAACCCTGGGAACCAGGATCCCGCCATCCCCCAGCCCCTCCAGCTGTCTTGTCGCGTGCGGCGCAAAAGCACTCGACCCGCCAGTCTGGTTACTGCTCTCGGTCAGCCATGGCCTCTCCTCCCCAGCTGCACCTGGGCCTCTTCTCCCCCCCCCAGTCGACTGTCCGGGGTCTCGTCTGCTGCGTGTGCACGCAACTGCAACTGCTCCTGCTCTTGTCCTGCCCGCTACACTACTACGTGTGCCTGCTTGGTGGCGGGCTGGCGGCTCACGGCACGAGGGGCGCCAGGCCCCCTTCCTCGTGCGCGACTGTCGATGCACATGGTTTGCAGGCCTTCTCGAAGTCTGCTCGGCCGTGTTTCGCTTCGCAGACGCAATGGTCGTGTTCAGTTCATGCGCTGCCATGCGGCAGGCCTGTCTGTCCATGTGTCCATGCAGACTACTTAGAGCCCTCTACCAGGCCCAAGCCGCCCTTCCCCCATGCGGCGTAGGCACGTCGAGGATTATTGTTTTATGCAGGCTGTGCTGATGGTGATGCGTCTGCCGTTAGAACCTTGCAGGCGACTGCGACTACCATGCCATGGCCCAAATCAATTCGCCGACAAGTGCGGTGCGCGACATCGACACCGGCTCAGCCTACGGCACACGACGGCATCTCGCCAGGCCCAGTCCGCCCGAGGGCTCCTTGGCCTGCCCATCGAGTGCGCGCCCATGGAGATGGCACCGATCCTGAGGGGCCCATGAGCAAGGCAGCGAAGCGACTGTCGGTACACGGCCCTATGCCCAACCCGGAAAGGCGCCATGTCACTCTCGCCCTGTCTGTGGAAAGACGGGCGTTTCGCTTGAGCTCCTGACAAGACGCTGCCAGACCTGCCAGCACGCCGCCAAAATGCTCGTACCCCTTTCTAGCCGGCTAGTACTGCTACCACCACTACCTACTCTGACCGCACCGCCTCTAGTACATGATGGTCCCCCGGCTAGGTCAAAGTCCTCGTCATCGATGCCAATCTCTTGCTCCCGACGCTCCCTCGCTCGCTCATGCTCGGTCCTGCTGCAGAGACCCACCCACCCGCTCTGCCCATGGCATGCCATGGCAGCAATGTCCTGGTGAGATGAGCATTTCACGCTTGCTCAGGCACCAGCTCTAGCCCAGCCAGAGAGGCCATCTTCGATTCGACTACATGCATGCGCAGCCTGTCTGCCCTTAATTCCCCAATCGTATCATGTCATGCACACTGCTGGCCATCTGTACAATCCAAGTCGTCGTCGTCGTCAAGTGGTCGGCGCCCTAATGTACTTTTTCTGGGCAGTCCATCCACCGGATGCGTCCCGCCACCAGCAGCCTCTTCATCTTGCACACGAGCCTACGCGGACAGCCGGAAAGATTTTTGCCTTTTCGCCCGTGGTTTGCTGGACATGAGCGGCACCCGTCCCTGTGTGTGCGTGTGCGTGTGTGTGCGTGTGCGTGTGTTGCGAGGGCGTCTGTGCCTAGCATTCGCCCGTGTGCGACAGTCCTCTTGCTTTGCTCATTCATCATCAGCTGTCAGACTCTGCCTTGCCCCCCCGCCTCCGCCGCCGCCGCCGCCGCCGCCGCTTTTATAGCAGCACCAGTTCCCGGCGGATCGCGAAGCTCAAAAGGTCCACACTAATACCCGTCGCTCAACATACGTGATACGATTCAGATAGCAGTAGTATCCAACGGGCGCCGCCACCCCTGCTCCCTATTGCCTCACGCCCCCCACAGCACGGCAGTTCCCTGTGTCCGCAGCATCTGGGCAGCGGACGCTTGCGCTCACGCGCCTGCAGCTTGGGCGCCCACACAGAGACGCTATTAGTGTGGTGCGGCTCCTGGATCCTGCACGTCGCATACCACCTACCCCTCGTCCGCCTGTTTAACCCCTTCATACACAGCGAACCACTTGGGGACCACAATACTCGAGCCTTTCAGGAGATCCATACACGACAACGCCACCATTGCGCGCGTGAGCCACGCTGCGAGCCCGCTGCCAGTGCGTCGTCGAAACCCTGGCATGCCAGACATCGTCTCCACCTGCCCTCCCTATGCACCTGTTGCTGCTCTTCCTGCCCTGATCTGCCGTATAACCTAACCACGCCCGCGGCACTGCGGAGATTTCGCGAGCGCTATACCATCGTCAGTCAACAACCTGCACCGTCTGTCTGTGTCTTTTGGCGGTTTAGTTTCTACCCCATTCTGCACAAGGCCCTTCTCTGTCCGCCAGCAACAATCTGTCCCATTCTGGACCCTCCCCTTCCCGTTACCCCGACCTTCTATTGGTCGCCCGCCCGCAACTGCACACAACATCACCACCTTGGTGGAGAACCCACGACCCCGCTGCCCGCAAACCACCGCGCCAGCTTCCGCGCTTCCACTCTGGTCTGCCCTGGCCTTGACCGAGAAACATAATGGCCCCAGAGACAACTGGACGCCCATTACTGCCCCAAACCGCCCAAATGCAGAGCTTCACTTTTGCGCCGCCGACGCTGGCGCCGCGCGAGAACCAGCGCAGTAAGTTCACACATACACACACACACACACACACACACACACACCGCCCTATATGATGGGCGCAGAAGAAGAAGAAGAAGAAGAAGAAGAAGAAGAAGAAGAAGAAGAAGAAGAAGAAGAAGAAGAAGCAACTGACATGGCCCATGTAGATTATGTATTCGTAGATGAACACAACAGACACAAGCGCTTGAAAGGTGTGATTCCATCGCCTCACCCGCCCGTGTTGCTCGCGCTCGCGGAGAATGGCATGCGCATGCTAACGTGATGCAGTAATGAGAGCATGCGAAGGCTGCCGCAGACGCAAGATCAAATGCGATGCCGCTACGACGAATGCATGGCCTTGCGCTGCCTGCATCCGCCTGAAACTCAACTGTGTACCACCAACAGTCAGTTACGACAAGGACTACAACGGTTCCCAGACTTTTGATCTGGAACCCAAGCCGTTGGAGTATGCTTCGGATGTGCCGTCCCAACATGAATTCCAACGGCAACCATCCATGACCCAAGCCATGCCTCATCAAATGCCGCTTTCCATGGCCGGTGCTGCCCAAGGCATGTATCAGCCTTCGCCCTACGTGGACCAACAGTCGCAAGACCAATGTCACTATCAGCCCTTGTCGCAGCCTCAGGTAGTCCAGCAGACAATGGGCTATGCTCCCCAACAACCCTACCCACAAGCATCACCCGCACCACCAACTATCTTGACTCCACCCGAGTCAGAACCTCACTGGCGAAGCGATTCTGCCTCAAGCTTGTCTGAAGCTCTGGGCGAACTCAAGATAGACCACACCGCTGTCGGTAGGTTGCATCAAAGCCTTTTGCAAAGCACAATCTCCAAGTTGACAAAAAATGCAGCACCCTATATCACAAACATGAAGAAGGCACTAGCCGAAACACCAGCTCAAGAAGAATACGAGGTACAATTACCACAATCCGTCAGCCTGGACCACACCGTCCGCATACCACCAGAAATGATGCCCTCGGATGATCAGGCTCTACAGTATTTTGACTATTTCTTCACCAACGTACACCCCTATTGTCCAGTCATCAACAAGGCCTACTTCTATCAGCAATGGCACAGTGCGCCAGACTCAATCTCGCCTCTCATGCTCGAGGCCATCTTTGCCTGCGCTACGTTGATGCTCGGAGACGTGGACGAAGGCAACAAGTGGCTAGCGCTTGCAACGAGTCAGTGATCTTCTGTTTTTGTTACTGACTCGCTTTACTGACTATAGTTGTAGGGCACGAAGAAAGTTTTAGAGACGTATCGCGACTCAGCACAATGCAAGCCATGACTCTTCTTCTCAAGGCTCGCGAAGCATCGCCAAAGCGCGGGTACTTTTGGCGCTCCTGGATGGCTGCTGTCAGCCTTGTTACAATGGCAAAAGACTTGGAGTTGCACGAGCATTACGACATTCATCAAATGGGAAAGTCGTGTGGCTCAACTCCGCACGACTGTGTTGCAAAGACGAGGGTGTGGCAGATGTGCATGGTTTTTGTGGTAATGATTGGCGGTCCGCAAGGTAAGGCAACCTGTTTCGAATACTCGACTCAGAATGCTAACGCAATCTTCACAGGTCGCTATGATTTCGGTGTTGACATTGACACTGTCGATTTGGAAATGCCCAGGTCAGTTGCTGGACAGGATCCTGCAGAGGTCCAGGTCGCGCGTCAGTTCGTCCAGTTTTGTCGCGTTGTCAGAAACGTTTATCATTCGGCCTCGATATTCAAAAAGCTAAAGAAAAGGACACCGGACTGGCCATTGGACCCTATTTTCGTGGCTCACAATACCGACTTTTCCATCTGGCTTCGAGAATTGCCCGAGGATATGCAGCTTGTCTACCCCCAGGATGGTTCAGCCCCATGGATCCCGTCTCACCATGTTGCAAACATGCACAGCTATCACTACCTGGCCACCGTAATGCACTTCCGACCTCAATTACATGCGGTGTCTGACTCGTATGACGGCATATGGAAACAACATATGCTCACGTGTTACTCAGCTGCCAAGAGTCTATGCAAGCTCCAGGAGGCTATCCTCAAGACTTACGGCATGCCTGGTCTGTTGTGCGCGGTACGAGGCATCAGCTTCCACATCTATGCGCTGCTCACCTGCACCATGCTTCATCTAGTAAGTTGCCTGTTACAAGTCTGGTACGCGCTCACTAACAAATATAGGTGGCCGTGACCTGCCCTGATCCAGACATCAACCACGACGCCAGAGAATTTTTCGTGAGGCACATGCGCGTTCTGGAAACCATGTCACCTTCGTTCCCAATGCCCGAGATGCAACAGCAAATCAATAGCCTGCGCCAAGCCTTCTCGGCTGACTGCTCCAAGCCATTTGAGCTGAAACCATCGTTTCCCTTTGGAAGTCCTCAGGTGGCCCCGCAAACGAGCCCCATGAGCCACCAAGGCTCTTACCGGTCTCGTCACGCAAGCCATTCATCGCCGATGGAACAACCAGGTCAGGTCAACTACCATGCACTTCCCATTACTCCACCAATCTCGGCATCCGACCACGGATCAAAGGCTGACTCTCCAGTAGCCCAGTCTTTGGTCATGATGGCTTCGGGTCAACGTGCGCCTCAGTCCGCATCTAACTTGCAAATGCCGGACAATGTTCAATGGAATCCACAACGCATATTTGAGTAAGTTATCCGGTATTACGAAGGAGCTTGTGCGCCATACTAACGCAGTGCAGTCAATGGAATGTTGCCTTTGGTACGCCCCCTCCTACTAGCGCCTCTTCCCAGTCTTCCCCGCCGCTAAGACCCACTCCTTCAGGAACCAGCTACGACATGCGACAGGCGCAGGAAACCATGCAACCCGGCTACCAGATGGCCAACACCTCTCCGCAGTCCAGCCACATTCATGGCGCGTCTGGTCAAATGCCGCCATCGTCGACTTATAGCAACCCTGCGCCCGTTTACGTCACTCCAACCATGTGGCAGGAGGCCGTCACCAGTTCTTTACCAGATGGCCTCAAGCGCAGGTGGGATAGTAACTCTATGCCGGACCAGTCCATGTACAAACGATCGCGTTGATACGATATGAGAGTATGTGACAGATCACATTACTTGCACCAGGGCCTATCAGAAGGAGCTTGATGAGAGCAAAACAAAATCAAGGGGACAGCAAACTACGTACGGGCACGGCTAGGCGATTCAATACTGGATTTTCCCTGCAAAAAGAAAAAAAACACAGGAAGATAGATTTGTTGCACGTGTTGACCGTCGATTACACATTCCCTCAAGACTGCTGTGCGGTCCTACGGGATTGTTCTCTGCCCCCAAAAGCGGTTTCAGACAGCCATCTTAGCTTGGCTACAAGCCATTCTATTGGATTGCGAATAACAGCCGAAGCACTATGCACACTACGACACAAGCGCGGATGTACGATATATTGACCTTGCACTATACGCAAGCACGACTGGAATAATGAATAAGCAGCGCTATTGGCAGAATTGAGCGTTAATGCTCTTACTGTAACACTAAGTACACTGGCTAGACAAGAAAAAACCTTTCTCAAGTTGTCGCTACATTTACACGGACCTTCCTCATTCATCGGGTTACTTTGTGTGATATCCACTTGTCGCATGGGCCCATAGCCATGGGGGTATTATGATAACCTCAACAATATGGCGGCTCAGTTCATGAAGCACTCGGGCCTGGCGGGAATGTCCCACGGACTTGTGACAGGCTGGAACTCTGTCAAGATTGATACTTGGATCAATGGGTGTCCCAAACGGTCTCCACTTGATCCTTCTTGTTTTGTTCCAGGATGCAAGCAAAAGCCGTCTTAGCTACCAGCTTGGACAGGCAACAAAAGCCATCAGTTTCCATGTATACACATGCGTTATATGCCATTGTTTATTCCGGCCACTATCCATATTACTCGGTTGACGAAGCCAGAAGGCCGAACGTCTGCAATGCGCCAATGCGCCAATCAAAAGGCTTCATGTGGGGTGCAGCAGCATGGTGGCTGGCCTTAAGTTTCCAACCTCCTTTCAGACCTATTGTGGAAGGAGTATAGCTGCTGTCGACATCAAGTCTGATAGGCCAATATGAAGTTGGAAATTTGACAGCCATTGGACAGTCGGACCGCTATTCATTGCACGTTGCCACAAAACCCTGGCCTGGTTAGTACCGGCAATCAAATCCGTGGGCTTGTTGAACCAGGTTTCGCAGTACTAGGCAATATCGAGCACACCCACAAGGCTGGGAAAGATCCCGAGGCTCAACGGTCTAGCGTCGATGTCTGTGGCAGGAATTCGGCATGTGAAATCGTTGCCACGCACTGACTGGTAGTCGACAGCGTCACCCTTGCAAGCAGGGCCCTCTGGACTAGTCGACACGAACCGCCTTCATAATGTGGAGAAGAAGGCGCTAAGGAATCAAAAGGATCAATCTCGACATGGGAGGGACGGGTGGTAGTCAACGTACGCTACTGCAGCGTATCACTGTACATGTACATGTGGTGTACGTGTGAGCATGCGGTTATCAAACCTAATACACGCAAAAGTTACATCGGCGAATGCAGCTAGCCCACAAACC